CTGTAGCCCCATCTGTGGAGTAAAATCTGAACACTCGAAACTAAAAACTCATGGAAAACCACGAAGTGTAGTAAAAATGTAGCATCTCAGTTTCTTATTATCTGCCTTTTTGGGCTGTGCAAGCCACTCCTCTGAAGAATTCATTTTATAGGGTAGGGCAGGAGCAGCCCCGTGAAAATCCCATGTTCTTGGTGGGCAACATGTCCAGTCTGTTCTTGAAAATGAAAATCGAGGATGATACATGATGGCCGTCGGTATCTGGAAATCTTGTGTATTACTATCCTGCCATGTAGTTGTTTAGCGCTATGTATGATTTGAAATTCTCACAGCAGTGGTTATGAAAAGTTCTGTCTTTTGGGATAACGTCATGTAGTCTGTTGAAAGTCAAACGACGTTTCGCAGGAACATGTCGCCACCATCTTCAAGGTGGAAGAATAAGCCATGTCAGAAATCATGAAGCAGAGCAAAGAAAATTCTTTGGATAAGGTAAAGTTCGACCCAAATGCAGAGATAACTGAAATTCTACAAGTTTCCCAAGAATCTGGCACATGTGTGTTGCATAATATACACATATGTTTTTATTCTCATGTTTAATAATATTAATTCATTTCTTCTCAACCACTAGTTGTACTTGAATATTTTTTTTATTTGGCATAATATTGTGGACAATAGTGGTCTTCTCTTCTACAGCAAAATAAATATCCTCTCCTTTTTGAGATTTTTTTAAGAACTGTCATTTATTTTGGAAAATTTAAAATGAAATGTCTCAAAATCTATACCACACAGACAAAAGTGCAAGTTCAGTGATTTGTGTTTTTCTACACTCTGTTGAATATGAAAAGTCTTAATACGCCATGACCGACATTTCATAAGTACTGCAGTAACTTCAGTAAGTTAAAAAAGATATTCAATGGGCTTTCTTCTTTTTAAAAAAGATACTTGAACTAACATGACTGTGGTTTTCAAGTGCCTACAACCTTCCTGTGGAGATCCTTTGCCATCATTCTGAATTTGGTTGGAATATGTGCAGTGATGTGGAACTAAAACACACACACACACCACTTTCTATTAAACGTTGAGCTTGTCGTAGGTGGGGTCACCAATGGCCTGATTTGTACAGGCTGTGGGTACTGCTTCCACTTAAACTTTGCAAACACCAGCCCCAGTGCATCAGACAGGTGCAGGCCATGGTATTGTATTCCATGTAAGTACCAGAAGCATGTGAAGCAACAGGAGGGGGAATCAGGCATCTGGAAAAGGAATTAAAGGTAGCTAGGGGGCGAATTTGTAAGCTGAAGGCAAGAAAAGTCAGCGATAACATCATTGAGCAGAATAATTCAGAAAATTGGAGGGGAGGAAAGAAAAATTCCAATTCCAGATCCTGTAGGTTCTCAGCAAGTGATGCTAGTCGAGTTACACTGAACAAGAAATTCAGTATACCGGCAACAGATGCACTGGAAGTCAGTCGGCAAACACCCGTTCTGTTGAAGCATAAAAGCAGGGAACTAAAATTATTCAGAGTGAAGACAGAGAAAATTAAAAATAAAACAAAGACCTTATTACTGGAAAGCAGTCATGGTAGGGAAATTGGCCCCATGCCTCAAGAAAACCTGGAAACTAAATTTGATTTATGTAGTATTTTCAAGCCAAATGCTGCTCTTGCAAATGTTGCTGAGGATATAGGGAAGCTTGGTAAAGGCCTTGCCAAGCAAGAACATGTTAATACAGTGGGAGGGCCAGGAAAAAGCCTGGATAGAAACTATCATTATTTAACTGAAAATGATCTCAACTTCATTGCAGAGAGTACATCAAACATCAGTGTGGGATTTGTGAACTTCTTTGAGAGGCATGACAAGCTGTGGATAAATGGGAGGGTTAGGAGCATGAACCTGCAGTGTGACTGGACCCTGCTGAGGTGTGACATGTCTCACATTGATGTTATTGATGCATCATCTATCATGGGGAAAGATTACATTATGCATGGCCTAAACTCTCAAGGCAAGAAGAGGCTCATGCAACTTACTGAAACTTACTCCAACCTCCTGTCACTTCATCTCTCTTCGGTCCAAATACTCTTAACACCCTGTTCTCAAAGACCCTCAGTCTATGTTCTTCCCTTAATGTCAGAGACCAAGTTTCACACACATACCCACAGGCAAAATTATAGTTTTGTATATTCTAATTTTTGTTTGTTTTTTTTTTTTTTTTTGACAGCAGACAAGACAAAAGGTTCTAAACTGAATGGTAGCAAGCATTACCCATGTTCAATCTCCTCTTATTTTGTCCTGAATCAGGTTTTGATTTGTTATCGTCATTCCCAAATATCTAAACTGTGCCACATTTTCAAAACATTTGTTACCTATCTTCATATCATAATTTTGCCCTGCATTCTGGTGACGAGACAGCAACAGATACTTAAGTTTTCTCTGTGTTTACTTCTAGATCAACCGCCCTACTGGCGTCAGTTGAAGTTTGTGTGATTCACATCATCAGTATTGACCAGACACTGATGTGCCCCATTTGATTTCAGGCCCACTTGGTTTTCCTAGACCATCCTAATGGCATATTCCAAACTGAAGTTGAAAAGCAGTGGCGATAAGGCAGCTCCTTGTTTTAGATTGTTCTGGATAGGAAAATTACCAGACAAATGTTTAACTATAAGGACTTTATTATACATTTCATTTAAACACATTTTAATCCACCTAACTAGCTTCGTGCGTACCCCAAACTCTGTGAGAATATTGTACAACATGTCCCTATTAACTGAATCATAGGCTTTCTTGAAATGTACGAATAGCTGATGTACTGTCTCACTATACTCCAATTTTTTCTCCAATATCTGATCAGTAATTGATTTACGTCAAAACCCACACTGATGATCCCTAATAATTTCATCTATGGACTTAACCTTGAGATAAAAGGCCACACCATAGCTCAAGTGGTTAGTCGCTGGCTTCCAACCACAGCGGCCCGGGTTCAAACCCGGGTCTGGTCAAGTGGGATTTGTGGTGGACAAAGTGGTGCTGGGGTAGGTCTTCTTCAAGAACTTTGGTTTCCCCTGCCAATCTTCATTCCACCAAATTTTCCATCATCATAATCACCCAGGGCAGGTACAATAGGCCAATCAGTGGCTGACGTGCAGAGTAGAGCCAGCTGGACTCTACCCCCCACTATGTGAATTAACCTTGAGAGAAGAATATTGGATAAAATTTTGTATGAAGTTGATATCAGTGATAACCCTTGATAATTACTACAGTCAGTTCTATCACCCTTCTTGTGAACTGGTACATTAATATACTCCTTCCACTGATCAGGCAATTTTTCCTTAGAATTAGCTTATGGATCTTAGAATGTAATATTTTTCTTCCTGCCTAGTAGTTCTGCCAGAATTTGATCACTACCTGGCAATTTATGCCTTTTCAATTTTGCAATAGCAATTTTAATCTTAAATGGGCCAGGACCATGTACTAACGGCTCAGCTGTAGGCATTTCTATCTGCCTAACATCACTGACCCTATGTACATTCAATAACTGAGAGAAGTAGTTCTTCCAGCTATTCAAAATGTTGTGGGAATCTGCAAGTAGATCACCATTCTCAGCCTTCATTAAGTTACTTCTAGGTTGGTAACCCCTCTTAAATTCATTTATTCCTTTATACTGGTCTCTAATGTTTTTTTCTTCCTATTGTTCGTTGCAAGCTCATTAATTCTGTCTTTCATATATTCCCTCTTTTTGTTCCTGAAATGTCTGCTGGTTTCACGTCTTATATTGTTCACATTATCCCCATTTATTTTGCTTAGATCCTGTAACCACTGCAGTATAACTAGTTTTCTTTGCTCTTATTATCAAAGTACCTGTGAATAATGCAACAATATATTGTGCATCTTTAATTAGTCACAAATTAACTCATATTTGTAATCACTCACTATTCACAGGGATCTTCCCTGATAATTTGAAGATTTCGGTGGTAAGACCACTGTACACAAAAAAGGGGACAAAACTAGTATGTCAAACTACGGGCCAATTTCACTGTTAACCACTTTCTCTAAAGTACTTGAGAAAGTTATGCACAGTAGGTTAAGCAATTATTTGCAGACTAATAATATACTAGTCCCAGAATATTTTGGCTTCAGGAAAGCAATATCCACTGAAAATGCACCCTTTAAACTAACAGATAGTGTATTAAAATATTCTGTGATTTGGCAAAAGCTTTTTGCCATGTAAATCATGAAATTTTATTAACTAAATTACTTTTTTTGGCATTCAATGAGCAACAGCAAGTTGGTTCTGATCCTACCTAACAGATAGAAAACAAAAGACTGAAATAAAATCATCAAATTTAACACAAAATAACTATTCAAACTGGGGAACAATAAAGCATGAGTCCCAAGAGGTCAATTTTAAGGCCTTTGCTTTTCATAATCTATGTAAATGACCTCCCTCATACAGTAAACACTTCGTCAATACACATAATATTTGCTGATGACACTAGTGCCATAATTTCTAGTAAAAATTTAGGCGACTTCTGGATAATAGCAAACAAAGTTCACTCTCAAATAAGTAAATGGTTTTCTGCAATCAAACTCTACCTGAATTGAGATAAAGCAAATGTAATAAAATTTATAATAAAAAATCCATCACAGTATCCATTAAAAGTTGAACATAAAGATAAATATGTAGAAGGGGCAGCAAACATAAAATTCCTTGGCTTACAATTTGACAATCATTGAAACTGGAAAAACCATATCAATCACTTGGTTCCAAAGCTAAGTGGAGAATGTTATGCAGTTAGATCTATGTTGCATGTCAGCAACAATGACACTCTCAAATCAATTTATTTTGTTTGGCCAATAATATTAATAACTAAATTGCATATTCATAATTGTATAGAAAAATACTAAATTACAGTGTAATCCATATTTTCTGTAACAGAGTTGCTGTATTAGCCTGCTCACTAAACAACAGCAGTAATTAGCATGGAAATAAAAATAAATACAAACTTCAAAGTAGGCATTTGTTTTTACTTGATTACTTACAAACATTTACAATTAACTGGATAACACAATACATACTCTGAATTGCTAACCGAAAGCTATCAAAATTATACTTGGTATCAACACATTGGGTACTTTACTACACATAATATAAAATATTTGTTTCTTGCTACCAATAAAACTTAATAATAAAAAGATATTAAACTATGATAACAAAAGGAACACAATAGTCCAACATCTATTTGGTTCATGTAAACCTGATAACATTCATAACATGTTCTTGAGGCCTTTTAAATGACATAAAATTCACAATTTAGGGCACTCACAGTCAGTATGGTGATAATTTTGGAGGTATCTCTCAGTGTTCAATAAATAAATCAACATTTGAACAACAGATTGAAATGAGACAAAATATCACTACAAACTATGAGTTGATGTGGCCAAGCCAGATCTTTCTCTATACATCTTGCTATCAAATTATTATGTGTATTAATAAAAATGTGTTGAAATTTCTGAAATATTATAATTCCAAGAACAAGGTGGTGTTGAAAAAGGAGAAAGGGAAAGAATTTAAGCATTCTGGCTTCAACTTTCACTGAACTTACAAATGTGTCTTTGTGTGGGTGTATACATATGTATGTGTGTAAGACTGTGAAGAAAATTTCATCAACCATACAATTTCACTCAGATCAAGTGATGGCTTCTTTTATAACAATAAACATGAATTGATGTAATGTTATTTCATATTGAGCAAATGTACTTTTTAGGTAATGTTTTTGTTTCTTTGTAATTGATTGATAAAAGTTTGTGTTCTCCCTTACTCATCTTAAACACTATGGAGAAAAATAAAAAATAACCACATAAATAGCAATAATCATTCTCTACTTTGGTGTATATGAGTACTTCTGAGTTACTTGCTTCAATGGAAATCGATATGAAATCTTGTATAAATCCATATTGCAGCATATTATTCACTAGTCTGACCAATGCTTCATCTCATGTCCGATATATTCTGTTCACCTAGTCTTGCATATGGGCTCACTTTACATACCGTACAGTTTCCATCTTTGGTGAGTAAAAAAGCTTGTACATTCTTCTTCTGCTTTCAGCTAAACTATTTCATAATGGCAGAATGGAACAGTGTGCTAGGAAGGACTTCATGCTGAAGTGAACACTGTTTATAGATATGAAGTCAAATTCAACAAGGAAAACTTGTAAAATCAAGTGCAGCATACAGCATTGCCTCATGTCTCAATGGGAAATACTATCAGACTCTCAATGACTTGTGTTAGGCTGTCAGCCAGTGTGTGTGGTTGAAACAAGAACTGAAATCATGTGAAGGGAGGACACTGCCACTGTGATCTTCTGTCAGAAATTAAAGAACCAACACATTTTCTTTATTTTGTACATCTTTCTTCAGTTGTCACCCTAATACTCTTGAATTTAACCCTTTCTTTAACTAAGAGGCAATTTTGATTGCAGTCATTATGTAGCCATGTCCAGTCCATACGTCATAGGTAGCAAAATAAATGCGAATGAAGATGTTCGACTCCCGAAATCATATCACCTGCTATACCTGTCTAGATACAAATCTTGGACATAAACCATAATACAATAAACATAGTAAAGACAATCCAGTTCTGACATTTAGCATAGATGGTGAAGAAAAATGGTAAATCCTTGCCCTTTTTCATGCTTTCCATGTCTTCAGCCCTTTATCTTGGTGACCGAGAAGATTTTTTACAAAAAGATTTTGCACTCTAACAAATAAATAGTATTATATGAAAAACTGGGCCAAAAACTGAGATTACTGGTGTCAAAGACAAATCATGAACAAATGTGATACCAGGGATTGGATTGGTACTGCTGGGGTCACTGAATATAACACTGTATCCTTTTGTTGTGACTAGGCAATAAGTCTTCTTGGGTGACTCATTCAAAGTTTAAGCTCATTGTCTTGGAGATCTCTGTCTCTACCATCAGAGAATGATGATGGTAACTAGCTGAAGAAGCAGAGAAGGTCTCTGAAATGTTGGGCATATGTTCAAATTGACATGGTTGTTCACCCAAAATATTTTATTATTTATATATCCTTTTGTTGTTACATTACCTTCATCAACCGCATTCCCATACAATTTTCATGACACAGGATTACCCCCATTTTCAAAATTAGGATTTCGTAAAACCTTTACATGATTTATAAAACCACACCTGAAGGGTCTGATTTATTATGTACTTTAAACAATGGCATCTATCACTAAACCAAGGGCAATTACAAGACTTTCCAAATGTAGCCATTGCATTCTGAATTATTAACAAATCTCTATGTATTCAGTAACAGAGTGAGTCATATTTAATACACATCACACAATTTTGTTCAGTGAAGAAAGTTTGCTACATTTGGGAATTTAAGCGTAAAAGTCAAGTAATATTACTATTACTGTATTTAAAAATACAGTTCCATGTATGACAGTTCCAAATTAAGTCTAGTAAGTGACTCAACCAGAAATCATAACCTTTCTCTGTAGTTCACACATCAAGAATGATTTGGATGGGAGATCATGAATGACACTATATCAGTTGAACAAATCAGTTAGTATCAAATTATTCGAGGGGGATGATTATGACAAATTGGAAAGAAAGTGGGCATACCCTATTTCCTGGAGGGACTGAGAAAGACCACAGAATCTTCAGCCAAGAAGGTTAATTTCCATTCAGCATTTAAATTTGGCACTTTACAACCATCCCACATGTCATCTACAGGAATGGAAAATTGGGGGGGGGGAAGTTTAAATTTTCTCATTTTCTCATTATGGCTGTATTGGTGAAAGAACACCCATCACACCATTGCATAATGCAAGGCTGTTAGAACACCAGTTTGCAATGATGGGCAATGTTTTCAAATTTAAATTTTCTTCCTTATGTAAAGAATGTAGCTCTGAGGCAGTATAAGTTACTCAGAATCCTCCCTCAACAATAATCCTTCAATTCCATTGGTTTCTACCATGTAACACTATTTCAAAATTACTGAAATCAAAGGACTGGCCGACTTCAGTATATTAACATGGAAACATCGCACTGCTAAAGCTCACCACAATTAGTCACAAAGCTGTTACTATCTACTTGCCCTTTGAGGAGGTTGGGTTGTTATAACAATTTGTATTGTTACCGCATTTGTACCTGAGTGCATGCATCACTTAATTTTTCAGCAGATATCTTATTTAGATACTTAAGCTTAATCAGACTTAACTCTTCGTGTCTGAAACAATATGAAAACACAGGTTCCAAGATGTCTGCAGTACCCCTGCCCTTTCCTCTCAGGGCACAATTTCGTATTTCCCAGCTTCAACCCCTTCGACGGCAACAATGGAATAATCTCAGGATCCAGCACAATATCCTGAAATCATTCAGGGTGATTTCAAATATTTCCAGAGATAGCAGCATCCATGCAAACACTGTATGAACATGTCAAGTCATTAAAGCATCATTTTCATAAAAAAAAATCTTCCATGAATACTTAAAAAGAGAGTATATAAAACACGCCACTGAAGGGGTTAAAGGCATCTGTTGCTATTCTGACTTCCCTCTTAGCAGTAATCGAATTGGCACTAAAATTGTTTAAATTAGTCTATAAACAATTATTTAAAAACACTAAAAAATAAAGTCACTGGGAGAGTTCTGGTAGCAAGGAAATAAAATTTCCTGAACTTAAAATGTTGTCAAGGTACACCTTCTGCTGTTGCCATTTTATATCTTCCTCTTTCTGTTTCCATGAAATGTCCCTTACTGATATCATTAATATTGTAACAATGACTATTTTTATTAAAATGATGTTTAGTCACAGGATATCTGTTTCATAGATTTTGTTAGTTGTAGTAGTAGTTGGCTGCGCATTGGTCGTCATTGTCTCAGGGGCGGTACTGACTGCCATTTGCTTCTGTGGCTGTTGTGCCATGATGGACTGTGGATTGGCAGAGGCTGCCACAGCAGCAAGATGAGTTAGTGATCCTGAGATTGGAGCAGCTGCTGAGAGACCATGGCCAAGTCCCATCTTCGCCAGCAAGTTACTCTCACTGCCAGTCTTCTTGAGGATCAAGTCTGGAGGCGGTACAACGGCTAATCCACCTCCCCCACTCCTCTGCAATTGCTGAAGCCGGGCATACTGTTCTTGAAGTGCTCGCTGTTTGCGGAGGAGCTCCTGATGCCGCTGCTCTAGGATCTCTTGCCGAGCCTTATTGCCAGTACTGCTGCTCGTGCTCACAGCTTTGTTCTGTTGAAGGCCTTCCTGGGAGTTGATGCTTTCACAACTTGAACTGTTGCTGGCTGAGAGGGGATTGAAACCTGGTTGAGGCTGGTTTGGGTCTTCTTGTTTAGCCGTGGCAGTGGAAGATGACACTGAAATACCAGGAGTTCCACGGAGGGGTTCCCGGAGACTGCTTCGTCCAGGCCCACCCCTCCTGAGCAAGGTTCCTCCCCCTACGCCCATTTGTGGCTGACTGGGAGGATGTTGACCTCTAGGAGGTAAAGATGGACTTGTAGGGGATGCCAGGGGTGATCGTGAGCTTGTACGAGGAGGTGGTGGTGGAGGAATGCGGCGACCTGCAAGGTGAGAGAGGAGTTCTGAATTGCGTTCAGGGACTGGGGGTTTGGGAGAAGTGGCAGGTGATTTTGGTGCATCTGCACCACTGCTTCCGGAAACCTGAAGGCGAGCTAGAGCGACTGTTGGTGGGGAGTTTCCTCCTCCATCTGAACTAGAAGGATATGAATGAAGACGTCGTAATGATGATGTACCAGTAGTCGAGGAAGGAAGGGAAGGGGCATGCGGGTGTGCTGAGTCGATGCTACCCTTGCGGCCGATGTCTGCCATGATAGGGTTATGACCACTACCAGCACGGAAGGGTGGTCGAGCAAATGTCTGAAGCTCATCTAGCAGAGCGTCGAGTGCGTTCTCCGGACGTTGCCGAGAGACTGAGCTGTCGCCTCCGATGGTGGGCGCCATGACACTGCGCGCTGGAATGGCACTGGGCTGCACACCCAATGCAACATAAAACTCAGTATGCAACACAGCTTTGCTACATTACAAAGTTTAAAGCAAAACCAGTCATATTTCATGCAATAAGTATATGTTTTACTATGGAAAAAGAAATGCTATATTTTAAATATCACTAGCACATGAAAGATGGTACATTTTTACTGTAAACTTTCTTATTCAATAATACTGTGAAAACAGGAAAGAGCACTTGCCAGTAGATAGACTGTTAGTATACAGAGGGAAGAACAAACTATTTTTGTCAGGAAAGCGCACTGGCCATTAGAAATCCAGTCAGCATATAGAGGGAAGAGCAAAAGTGTTTTCTATCAGTTCTTCATTGTGTCCTTGTTCTCATTCATAAACATTTGCTCCTCTCTCATCTTGTCCAAGTGAAATAAATCAATCACTGCTGTGCTTTTTCCAGGACTTATTTGAAACCTTTGCATTACACACAAATAAAGTCTTTGTCTATTTTGGAAAAAAACTCATAATGGGTACATATTAATATCAAGAACTGGAAGTGGCAGTTTCTTTCTGAGACCATTTTACATTTTGATATACAAATGTGCACCACCAAACTCTCAACTGAATTGAATTTATCAAAGCTACAACAGAAATTCAAGTTGAAAGCTCCTGTTCTTTGGGTCTTCAAGGAGTTTTCACTCAGTAAGCACTTTCATCATGGCAGAATCCCAGTTTGCAGTTTCCTCAGAGGAAACCCCTTGAACTTGGAATCTACTGTAATTACACAACATAACAGTGACAGCCAATAAACACTGACAAGCAGTAATATTCAACCTGAGGCTTTCGGCATTTGAAATTGTGGACCTTTGGTGATATACAAGAGTGAACATTTTTCTATTGATGAAGGTCTGGCACATGTGTGTGCATGAATGTAATAGCATCTCAATTGCATTCTGAGAAGTTCAACTGACATAATGAACTTACAACTATGAGTGAAGATCAAATATGGGCTGATCAGTTTAATTGAGAACACATGAAAAATTCTTGTAAGAGTGCTAGAAACGTGAAATTTACAACTAACAAGGTATAATATGTTGACAGCCAGTAACATCACAAAAGCACATGTGCCATGCAAATAGTAAAAAACATGGCGTTTAGTATATATGTTCATGGTGGAACACTACTGAAACAGAGTAATTTAAAATCATTCAGAGTGATTTCTGAGGCAGTTTCAATATTGTGAGGCACCATGAAATATGCGACATGGAAGCTTGTGAAAATGTTCAGGGGAACAGAAAAGTTGAAACATGTTCACTTCTTTAAAGTTGTGACTGAGGACCAGTTAGCACAGGTTAGTGAGACACTGACAGCAAGTCCACACAAGTCACTATGGAAAACTTGTTCAACAGATGGGAATATCATGCAGCAGCTGTCTACAATGGGGAAGAAATCAGAAATGTCTGCATACAAAATGCAGGTAATGCATCAACTGTTACCACCATACTGTGAATGGTTGCTGGAAAAAGTGGATGCTAGGCTGGTAAAAGGTAAAGCTATCCCTGTGACAGGTCATAAAGGCCACATGAGGTAGTGAGACATCGAGGCTCCCACAAGCTCACAGATGGTGGTAAGTTTGTCAGCCTTATGTGCCAGCCACCCTTTAACCCCCAGGAAGATTCCTCCTACACATTTCTGTTAGAGGCTGAGTCGACCTCAGGGTCACAGTGTGGCTGGAAGGATTAGGTAAACTGAAAAAAATCCACTTTATCAGGATTTGAACCCATGACCTTCCAGACTCAACCCACTATGCTACCACATGGTCCTTCCTCTTATATAAAGCTGGGTTTCATCTCACAGGGTATGTAAAATCTCAAGAGTACCTGCCTATGGTATATGGAAAATCCCCATGTAGTTCATGAAAAACTCTTACACCTTGTGGAAATTGAAATGTGATGTGCAATGACCCACTGAAGGACTGCTGGGCCAATCATTTTTACAGACACCATAAACTCTGAACAGAACACTGATGGTCCAAGAATTCCTGGGTCCTCTAGCTGAAGAGGAGATTGCCAAAGTAGGATTTCAGGAAGGTGTAAGAAGGAGCACTTCAATGGTGTATATGACCAAGCTATTTAGTTCCAAAAAATCCATAGAGGCATCTGCCTCTATGGCAGATGCATATGCCACTTGTATGGAGGCTGCATAATGTGGGAAGGACTACAGTCCCCACATTTGCCAGATTTGTCACAATTCAACTTTTTCTTGTGGAACTATGTCAAAGACAGTGTCTACAACAATCTGTGCAATTTTGATGAATTTAAAATCAATGTATCCCAAATTATTGCAAGCATCACACCCATTATGCTGCAGGCAGTGTCTTCAAATATGCTTCTTAACCTTTAAACGCCGGGCTTCGAAATAGTGGTAAACTTGAGCTGGCTGGAGTTTATTTAAATGCCTGCTGCTGGTGCTCGTTTAAATGCCCGTTGCTCCCTTGCGTTTAAATGTCCGTTCCTGTTAGGCGGTTAATCAATTTTAAGCGTTGTGTTTAAAAATGCTGTATCTAGCACAATTTTTATGATAAATGGATGGTATTAACTTTGTTTATATCAGCAAAGAACATAGTGTCGCATATTATAACGGAAGATTTGAAATTTTTAATACAAAGTGTTGTACTCTATTTTCAATTTTTTGTGTTTTAATTTTGATGCGTACTGCAAAAATGGTTTCCCAGTTCTTCACAGAGTTGTTCTGCATTACAAATTCATTTCTGTTTGTAACACTTGACAAATTTTAGCAGTCCCTGGTGTCATAAAACAGATGGAAGCAATAAAATCATTTGGTCTTCTGCTAGCACTGCTTACACCCTTCGGATTTTCGAATCTTTGACTGGAGGTCAGAAGAATGAAAGAATGGCTATTCAAGAGAAAGCTAGAGGGGTCCCTTCTTCAGTGCTAAAACCTTCCGTTAGAACTGCAAAAGGTTATTGCCCCTTCTATTTGAGTGAACAGACAGCTGCTTCGTGGCTGAGATACAGAGCGCGATCTGTTTTGTGTGCGTTCGTAGTGAAATTGAATATGGTAGTTTTATTTGAAACTGTATATACATCAAGCAGGTAACAACAAAAAAGGTATGTACATTGAATTTTACCATATATTTTTAACACATTAATCTGCAGAGTCTGCAATAAAATTACTGGATCGTGGATAAGTTTTGGCATAACTCATACGTATATTTTTATTTGCTGTTGTTCAGTTAGGTATTATTTTAATTCCTCTATTAGGGTTTTACTCA